ATTCGATCCCTAGACCTACCCTGTACCTGTACATAGACCCCGTGACCTGAGTAGGATTCGATCCCCAAACCTGTCCTACGGCTTAGGATAGTCTGTAGTTTGGGCAGTAGGACTTGATCCCGAGGTCTGTAGATTAGCWGCTAGGTCTGTTACCAATAGGCCTAGAAAGCCTGTTCTAGAAGTCTCTACTGAGTCTGTCGAAAGTCTGTAGAGTCTGTAGGTTCTAGAAGTCCGTAGGGTTCTGTAGGGGGGTCCAGCCAGCATGTACCTGGGTAAGGGATGCACGTGGGGAAGGTTCTGGAGCATGCAGAGAGTTCCACACGTTGGCCCAGAAGGCCAAACGTCTGGAAGCTTCCCTGGGCCACACGTTTTGGCCCAGGCCCACAGGTCTGGAGGCAGGGTCCGGGTACCTCCGAAGAAGTATAAATAAACAGGCAGCGTCCAGCCATTCATTCATTCGCCTGTGAGCCATGCGGAAGAGCTGCCTTGGTGTCTTGTGCATGGAGGTCTGCAGGTGCCTGGAGACGAAGTGGGCAGTGAAGAAGACAGCGGCCATAGCTGGCCAGTGGGGTAGATGTCGGTGGCCATAGCCAGCAGGAGGAAGACGACGACGGCCATAGCCGCCCAGCTGTTGGTGAAGACAAGTGTTCAGAGTGTGTRAGGCTGTGCTGAGTGGGGACATTCAGGGTGATCCTYGTACGTGCACGCATGAGACAGTGAGGGAGAGAGTGAGGCTGGTGGTAGAGACCGTGTTCGGCGGCCATAGCCGCAAGTTGTGCAGCTGTTAAGATTGAGTTTAAGACAAGTTCATTGTTGTTTTTTGAGTTGAAAGAGTTCAGTTTTGCCATCGGTTCTCAAGTGTGCATGTTGTGAGCAAGTCCAGAGTTGAGTCTGATTGCACTGGTATCGGAGCAGGTACCCGTTGTCCACGCCGGCGGAGCTGCAGCACACAAGGAAGAAGGAAGAAGCCGCCATAGCCGGGGCTTGGCAGAGAGAGGAAGACAGAGGAAGGGGGACGGTAGCCATAGCTGCCGAGTTCGGGGAAGAAGACCAACATCAAAAAGGGAGAAAGAAGAGACGCAGAGAGAAGAAAGGAAGAAGACAGTGACAAAGAGGGAGACAAGATCAGCCATAGCTGAGGTGAAGGAGAAGGAGGTCCACCATAGCCGGGAGGTCAAAAGGTTGACCGGGAGAGTTGACCAGATGCTGACCGAGGTTGACCACGGGTGTTGACCAGGCATTGACCAGTGTTGACCGGGCTGTCCAGGGCGTTGACTGAGCATTGACCGGAGCTGCCTAGCGCATTGACCAGGAGCGTTGACCGGCGAAGTTGACCACGTCCGTTGACAGAGCGTTGACCCAGCTGGAGCAAGAAGACAAACGGTACTATCTTCCCAAGCCTGGCCTATCCCTTACCCCGTGAGTGTGTACCTTCACCCCGGTAGTTGCTGGCATAGAGTCTGTCAAGGATAGTCAGTCCTATCTCCCTGTCACTATTGTCTAGGGTGTTAGGACTCTGTGTGTGTGGTCATAGAACCGTGAGTTCAGTTCGGGTAGTGACCCAAATCCCCGAAGTAGAACTAACCTGTTCGGTCTAAGTGTTGAGGTGTGGAATTGTTGTTAATTGTGCGCTGTCAACATGGTGACCCTTAGATCCGGGACCGTTACCACCCCCTACAGCAAAGAGCAGGAGGAGAGAGTTGTCGCCCTTCTGCGTGAGAAGAAAGAGAAGATGGAGAAGAGGGAACTAATCAGACAGGCTAAGATGTTGGCGCTGCTGGAGGAGCAAGAAGCAAAGAAGAGGCAGATGGAGGAGGAGATGGAAAGATGGAAGAAGGAGCAGGAGGAGAAGATGACAGCTATTCAGGCGGAAGAAGAAGAAGAAAAAGAAGGAAGTGGAAGAAGAAGAAGAAAGACCGCCAGAGAGGAGAAGAGGAGGAGGAAGCACAAGTAAAGACGCGGAGATTGCGGAAAGGGCTCAAGAATGGGCTGCACATTTGAAGTTAGGGGAAGACTAGGAGGCTGAGATGGCTGTACCCGAGGAAGAAAGAGAAGCAGCCAGGAGGCAAATTGAAGCAGAGAGGGATCCAGTAAAGAGAGGGGCAAACGAGGAGGAACAACGGATGGCGTGGAGATACCGGTTATCCCAAGAAAGGGTCAGGAGATTGGAAGCGGCAGAGAGGGCGGACAAGGACCTAAGAGCGGTGGAAGTTAGGATGGGGAAGATCCGAGCGGAGGCTGAGCTAGCAACCAAGCTAGATACGCTGATCCAAAGTGTAGAGGCTTTATTAGTCGCACAGCGGGAACAAATGCAGTACCAACGCTGTCAAGACATCAAGATAGACGCGATACGCGCGGGGTTCAAGGACTTCGCTTGCGACATGATGAAACACCTGCTGACAAAAGTGCACATTACGATTAATAGGACCCGAGAGTTTTGTACTGGCGCCATTGAAGGCGCCAAGCTAGCGGCCCCTAAGGAAGAGGAGCCGGCCCCACCACGTCGCGAGAAAGTCAAGGTCCGATTTCCCGAACCCTTCAGTGGGAAGAAGGGTGAAGATTTTGATAACTGGGAGGCCAATGTGCACTCCTATCTGTATCTGCAGGGAGTCACACCTGAAGACCACACTTTGGTGGCCTTCCAGGCCCTTRGAGACGAAGCAACTAGCTTTGCTAGGTCGCTAGCCCRCGYTGCCAACTGCGATAACGATATGGTTACATACTCCAGACTGACACCCCTCTCCGACTTCCTGAAAGCCCTCAGGGAGCGATTTTCTGATGTCACGCGGGGCCTTAAGGCCTCGGACAAACTCCAAATGATCCACACTCGCCCATGGAAGAGTGTGCATGCGCTCCGCTATGGACGAACTGATTGCGGTCCCTGGGCATGGAGTCACTGATGTGCAACTCCTTAACCTCTTCCACCGCGCCCTGCTTGAAAATATTCAGGGACACTTCTTCGAGAAGAAGAATCAGCAGGGCATGACTTACGATACACTTAGTCGGGAGGCAGTTGCATTTGCCGCCCAAGCGTCGCCAGTTAGCACGTTCTGGCACAAGGATCTGTCTAAGGGAAAAACGCGGAAGGGACACACCATCTCAGGCCAAATCAAGGCCAAAGATAGTCTGATCTTAACGATGGAGGAAGGTGGTGCAGAGGAGGTTCCCTACTCTGACATCGAGTGGGGATTAGAGGACAACAGCGCAGGCCAGGGGAGAACCTACGCTGCTGTCGCGGCTGGAGGGAGGCCGCAAGGAGGACAACGGTCCGGCCCAAGTGGTCGGGCCCAGGGTGGCCGAGGGCAGGGCGGCCAGGGGGTTTGCGGCTATGGCAATCGCCAAGCGGGAGGAAGGGGAGGTCCCCCGTCTAACCGTCCGAGTTCTAGTCGGTCACCTCCCAGACAAGGAAGGTGGCATCCAGGCCGGCCTAAAGGCCGACCTTGGTTAGACCTGGGTATAGATCAAAGGGTATGGCAAGAACGCATTAATAGTTCTCAATGCGTATTCTGCGGGGACCAGGGCCACATTATCAAATTTTGTCCTAAGTATAGGGACCGTGCTGCATCTGGGGCAGCAAAAGACAGTCGCTGGTAGGGGTTGCAACTGCCCCTACCTCAGGAGTATGTGGAAGTGAGCGTGCCAGCGAAGTAGAGTCTCCCACTCCACATATTTCCATGGCAGAGGCTGCAGGCCAGCGTCTAGTAAGCTGTCCAGAGATCGCTTGTGTTAGGGTCTCTTTAGGCGCTTCCCTCACAGGCTTAACCGATGAACTGAGAGAGAGGAGGCAAGCCTGGGCCAAGATGAAGAAGGATAGTAAAGGACAACTAATCCTCGCAGATGTAGAGATATTTAGAGCTAGAGTAGGAGCCCTCATAGACAGCGGGGCGACTAGGAGCTATATTAGTCATAAAGCGCTGAGGAAGTTGAAGTTGAACCTAAAGGTCCAACGACTAGAAGAGCCTGTGGTCAGCATCCTCGCAGACAATAGTAGGATGCGCGTCAAAGAGTATGTTGAGGGGGTCCACACCTACTTTCGTCTGGAGAAAGATGGCAAGGTAGAGAAGGTACTGCACTCCCTGACCCTCCTTGTAGAAGAGAGTCTTCCGTTTGACGTAGTTTTAGGCACAGATTGGGGAGAGGCAGCAGGAGCCACACTTCACCTCAGAGAGCATGAGTGTACGCTTCCTAGTGCGCCAGGCGAAGTCAAGAAAGTCCGCCTGTTCCATGAGTCTGGGGTAGATAATCCCCTTGCCCATTGCTGCCTCAGCGCTCCTGCATTCGCCAGACTTGTGCGAAAGGAGCAACTTGAAGAGCAAGTGTTTGTGGCCTATGTTAGGCCAGTGTTCGATCAGCCTAAGGAGGAAGAAAAGATCCATCCTGCTATTGCCAGTCTGCTGGAAGAATATAAGGATCTATCTGAACCACCTTCAGGGGTAGTGCCCAGACCGATCCAGCACCGAATAGAAATAGAACCTGGCAGTAGAACGCCAAAGGGGGCAGTCTACAGGATGTCTCCCAAAGAGTTAGAGGAGCTACGCAGACAGTTAGATGAGCTCCTAGAAAAAGGATGGATCCGGCCT